CTCACTAACTGGGGCCTTGTCAGTCTGTTTATAATTAACCTGACTCCCTGGATTCACCTGCAAGTCAACAAATTATTTGGAAGTCTTTGTCCTTGCAAGAATTTATTTCAAGAGAAAAAAAATTAGAGATTCTCAGACTCATTTTAAAGCACAGCATGACTTGGGGTCTCGCAGGCTTGTTCTAAAGCACGAGGTGTCATGAGGCATCGTTCTCGCGCTGTTTGTGTGGCTACATTCCTTCTGGCGGCAGCAGGCGCCACCTCTCTCACCAGCGTGCTTCCTGTGTGCACGCCAGCCACTTAGGCCTGGGCTGCTCCACTGGTGTGTAAGCCCTGTCAACGGTATTTCCAAATAGCCAGCCAGGCAGGTGAGCTCATGGGTCTCACCAGCTGCCGACCAGCCCACCCCACCCACAGCACCCATCCTCCCAGTGCTGCCTGGGCTGCTCCTGTGGGGTGCCCCTGTGGCTCTCCTGTTTGGACCACTCACTCATTTGGCTGAAGCACATCCTCTAAGAACTTCCCAAGTAACTGCTTATGAGTCCAAGGTTTTGAGTCTTGCATGTCTGAAAACGGTGACCCCGTCCTCACAGCAGTTAACTCTCCAGGAATAGAACTTCAGGCTAAAATCATACTCCCTCCGAGCTTCTGAACTCTGCTCTTCTCCGGTATTACACCGAGAGGTCCCAAAGCCATAGGTTGCTGAGCCTACCTTCCCCTGAAGGCTGCGAGGCCCTTCCTGCGCCGCGGCTGACCCAGCCTGGGGGGCTAGTGCTTCAGTGGGTCCCTTGCACTCACTGGGGGCCCCGCACCTCAGCTCCGGGGGACGGCCTTGCATCATTATTGTCATTTAACATTTCCACTCTGTTCTCCTTTCTCTTCCTGGAAGTCCTTCAGTCAGATACTGGGCCTCCCTGATCAGGTCTAACTCCTCCTCTCCGCCCTGGTCTTCCCGACTAGCATCTTTTCCTGGTCAACAGAGCACCATCTTCACCTCACACCTCCAGGGATAGTAATGCCAATTTTTTAAAAAGTTTTTTCCTGTGTCTGGCATTCCCTCCGAGTTTGTTTGTTTTCTCTTCCTCCCTCCCTCTCCCCTAACTCCTTCCCCTTTGCTTTTTTTTCCTTTCAGGTCACACTGACGACTGAGGCACCCGGAGAGTCGCCTGAAACTGCATCATCCCGTCACCTCACAGCTTCACTGCTGGATGATCTGACTTCAGGCAACTCCCTCCCTGGGGATTTCACCACTAAGTGTGCTGATTTTCACCTACTCTCCCGTTTCCCGCTCTGCACCTGTTCCACCCTGGGTTCCCAAGTCTGGCTCAGCTTGCCAAGAGCAGCACTGTCCTGCAGAACTTTCCACGGTGGTGGAAGGGCTCTACTCTGAGCTGTCAAATAAGGTAGCTTCAGCCACATACAGTGACTGAAGCCTGGAAATATGCTTCCTGCAACCAAGGAACTAAAAGTTTAATTTCATTTTACTTGGGTTAATTTAAACAGCCCCGCGTGGACAGTGCAGGATGTGGAACTCAGCTGCAGCCTCCCCTGCGTTCCACCTGGCTGGGGGTAAGGGGTGCCCGGCCACGTGGACAGGGAAGGAGGTGAATACAAAACACAGAATTTCAAAGCGAGGTCAATGTTTCCCCAAGAAACCTGAACTTTGGAAATATAACATTTATTAATATTTGATACTAATACTTTCATTAAAATCAACATCCATAAAGTCAAAGAGAGAAGCTGAAGAACTGGTAAATGGGCAAAATGAGGGAGGAAAAAGAACCGTCACTTTATCTACATCAACACCAATGTTTTCCATACTTAATACTTCCTCATTGCTGACTTTATACTCCTTGTGTTAATGCTGTTAAGTCTAAACAACCCATGTCAATGAAACAGATTTCAGTCTCTGTTCTCACTCACTCCAAAAAAGTTACATTCTAGTTACTTACTCTGTCTCCAGGTTTAAGCAGTGGTTCATTCTTACTAGTCAGTTTATTAAGTAGAGTATAAGCTAGTTTTAAACTCCGACTCCAAAGTTTGCCTAAAATAAAATAAAAATACTAAGCAAGGTAAAATTTAAGAAACTATTAATTAACATTTTAATGTAGCAATCATAACACCCCATAACATACCATTATTACTCTACTACTGATAATGCAGGTAGTTTTCAGGTGATAATTATTTTGTACAATGCTGAAAAGAACATAATAACTTTATCTTAAAAACAACTTAAATTTACTTTTCTTAACAGAAAAATAAAACAGTACTTTATTATAGATAATTTAGAATATAGAAATGCCAGCTGAATAAAGCATTCTTTCTGTTATGTATGTACACACACACACACATACACACATGCAATTTTCGGGAAATGGGATCACACTTCACGCTGCTTTTTCCAATCAACATTGCATTGCGAATGCATTTTCATGTCATTGAACAGGTCTCAACTGCGTCCCTTATGAGATTGGCAGGGTTCATTCAACCACAATTTCCCTCAGTGGGTCACGTCTTCATCTCCACCTTGCACTCAAGAGAAGACAGTCACGGAGATGCTAAGCCAGCCAGAGCCCAGGGCTGCTGCAGCCAAGTACCTGGACCCCCGGGCGGCCCCAGCCCTGCGAGTCCTGCCCACCACACCCCATCCTGCGGGATGCTTCACTAAGGAAGGTGCGACAGAGACACAGGACAAGTGACCAGCAAGGGAGCGTCTGGGAGGCAGAGGCAGAGGGTGAAGAGAGGGCGAGAGGACACAAAGCCGGCGTCCGCCCGACACTGAAGCACCCTCTCCTCACCCTGCGAGACGCACCAAGGGGGAAGACAGAGCCACGGCTTCACCCTCCCCACCTCTGGCAACTGCACGCCTTCCAAACGAACCCCACTTCACTGTAATCCACATTCAGGCGCAACATGGTAAGATTAGTGAATTATGGAGCCTGAGAAATAAATGAGAAAAAATATCCTCAACTCAAAACATTATTGCCTTTGCCTACATAAAAAGGTCAATTCAAGATGTTAATAACTGTTAACACAGTTTAAAGATTTCCAAACTGAGTTCAGCTACATATAAAACAATAATGCATTGTGATCAAGTTAGTTTTATCTCAACAAGGCAGAGGTTTAACAGAAAATCAACATAATTTGCCACAATAACAGAATAAAGGTGAAAAAGGTAAAACAATTTATCATTTAGGATTTTCAAATTCCTTCTTAAATCCGGGATGAAAGGAAACTCCTTTAATGTGATTGTTAAAAGTCATCCGTAAAAATCCTATCAGAGACACCACAATTAATGGTCAGATACCATTAACTGAGATACCAAGAGTTGGTCAAGAACATTTGCCGTTTTACTCGAAGTCTCAGCCAATGTGACTGGGGGAGGCGGCAGGGGAGGTAAAACAACTGGAAACAAAACTGTCATTATTCACAGATGATGTGACGGTGTGTGTTATGAACCCTGTAACTGAAATTAGCAAGGCTGTCACATACAACAGCAATATACAAACGCTGAGATCTAAGTACCAGCTCCACACTAAATACAAATTTTAATGATACTATTTACAATAAGATTTAAATAAACATGTCAAATACCTAAGAGTAAGTGTTATAAAAAATACACAGCGCCTCCCCCAAGAAAATCACAAAACACTACTGAGGCTGAGAAAGATCGGAAGGAAGGGAGGGACCTGTTGCGTCCACTTGCGGGAAGACGCCGCAGTGCAAATGTGCTAGTTCTCCTCGAGTTGCTCAAAACAACCACCCACCCTTGGCAGGTCCGTCTGTGACACAAGCTGGTTTTAAAATGGACACTGACATAAAAGGGCGAGGACAGCCAATACAGCCTTGAGGAAGGAGCTGGACAGGTAGGCTTCCCCTAGGGACATCGAGGCTGGTTACACGCGATAGCAGTGGAGAGGGCGTGGTGTCAGCACAGGGCAGACTGAATCAGTGGGGTAAAGACAGATCTACCCAGGTGTGGACGACAGGTGGCACCGTGACCTTTCCTGAAAGGCTGGCCTGGAGCCCAGGCCTATACCACACACAAAAACTCACTCTGGTGGGGACGGCAGCTCTAAATGTGGGTGGGAAAACAGCAGCACCCTCCCTGGACACCAGAGCAGCCTCGGCTCGGTGGGGAGGATCCTCACAGAGGGCAGAAGGGACGCTTGCCATGTGGGGGTGAGCGGCTGGGGCTCAAAGCAGGTGACCCATGCACCACAGGCCACCAACAGGACTGGTATCCAGGACACATGAAATGCCCACAAATAATCCTGTATAAAAATGTGCAGAAGATTCAACAGCTCTTAGCAAAGAGAAAACCCAACGACTGAAAACAGGAAAAGATCTCAACCTACTTAATCATCAGGAAAATGCAAATCAGCACCACAATGAATAGCACCTAAATAAGCCGTTGGTGACAGGGAGCAGGGGGCTCACGCTAATCAGGGCAGTGAAACTGGAGGAGTCTGGAATTATCTGATACATGTAAAGATCTCATAACCCCAGATCCAGCTAGCATCTCCTCTCCTAAGTCTACACCCTACAGAGATGCACACAGCGGGATGTTCCCAGCAACAGTGCGTAACAGTCCACACTGGAAATGACCCAAATGTCTGTCGGCTGTATAATGGATACACAAGTCCTGAAATGTCCAATATTCATTCCACATCAGAAGTGAATGAGTCACAAGTACACTCTGTAACATGGATGAGTCTTAAAAGTGTGACGGTAAGACGGCGCTGCTTCCGAGCAGAAGGCAGTGGTGACAGACCAGCTCCCCCCTCTAAGATGACTGCAAAATTGGGTAAAATGCAGAACCACCTGCTGGAGGCAGCAAAGACAGCCAGCAAAGACAGGGTACGACTCTAGCGGAAGCCCCTGGGAGGTGAGCTGCCCTCCTACAGCTGCTCTTATAAAAGCTGCGGGTGCAGGGATCCAGTCCCCAGGAGAGCGGCAGCTAAGGGCCTCGCACCCACCAAGTGCTGCTGCTGGGCGTGGAGACGGGGCCTCGGAGCAATCTGCCGGATCCTGAGACCTCTGAAAAGCCAGACAGAGCCCTGAAGTCACCACATAAGACAAAATCCACACTGGGGGGCCCCAGATGAAGGGGTCACACAGAATACACCAGTTTTAGGGAGTCTGAATAAAGGAAAACAAAAAAATCTCCAAACTGAAGTAAATATATAAAAGGATGCAAAATATAAAAAAGAACATTAAAGGCACGTGGAACTCAGAAAAGGTGTTAATATAAACGTAATCAAGAGTCCCAGAAAAACAGGAGAGAGAAATGGGGAAGAAACAATATACCAAGAAATTATGGGGGTGGGGGTAAGAGTAGAGCTTAGTGGTAGAGTGTATGCTTAGCATGCACAAGGTCCTGGGTACAATCCCCAGTACCTCCAATAAAAGTAAGTAAATAAAAATTAATTAATTAATTAATTAAACCTAATTACCTCCCCCCAAAACAAAACAATGTCCAAAAATAATTACTTAAAAAAAAAGAAGTTATGGCTGAAATTTTCTAAAACTGATGAAAAATACCATCCCATAGATTTAAGAAGTCCTCTGGACCCCAAGCAGGAAAATTTCAAAGAACATCACACCTAAATACATCAGTAAGACAGATGTAAGCCAGAGCCAAATGAAGAGGAATTTTTAAAAAGCAGAGGAAAAAAGACATTATCATCCAGACAGCAACAGCCTGGCACCTCGCCTTCCAGAAGACAGCACTGACTTAGAGCACCAAGGATGCCTGAGCACCTTCAAGAAGGAAGACATGGGGGGCCCGCAGGCCAGAGGGAGAGGTGACCATGGCAAATGAGGGCTAGTGGGAAGGATGGTCCAGCGAAGGGAAGGGGGAACAGTGTGACTCCTGACTTAAAGGCAGAGCAGTGGTATCTTGCAGGTGTAGCAGACACAGACTTAAAATGAAAGACAAGGAGAGAAGGTGTCACAGGCTGGCTTCTTCTGGAAGCAGACACTGAGCCAGAGCTCGCACAGGAGGTACTCCCATGGAGCAAAACATGTAAAGGGAAAAGGGAGACAGCCAGGGTGGGCAGGAGATGCCAGCGGACCAGTCTCTGCAAGCCCCACAGGGCGACCCGGGAGTCGGCTCTCTCGTCATGAAAGTCCATGCTGAGCAGACACCGGCCCTGTCCCAACACCTCACATGACCTGGACGCGAAGGCTGAATACGACAGGTGCAGGCTGCCAGCAGCCCACCTCCTCATAGGTGGGCGGTGAGCTCATTTCTTAAGGAATTACAGACGATCTCCCTAATGAACACAAATGCAGACTCTAAACAACACACTGCCAAATAGGATCCAGGCATTTACCAAAAAGACAAGATACCATGGCCAAGTGGGATTTATTCCAGGAATGCAAGGGCTGCCTAGCATTTGAAAATTAATCAACAGAATTCATCAAATTAGTGGGGGAGGGCAGAGAAACCATATGATCACATTGACAGAACAGAAAAAGACAATCCAAGATGAAAACCTTTTAGCAAACTAGGAGCAGAAGGGACCTTCATTAACTGACAAAGAATTTCTGCCATAAAACAAGTAAACAAGCTACAGTAAACACCGCACATTGAGCCCAAACGCTCTCCACCTAAGACGGAGGAGGGCTCCACACTGCACTGGTGTTTCCAGCTCGCACAATGAGGAAAGAAACAAGGAAACAAAAAGCCAAAATAATATTGGCATTGTTCACAGGTGCTATGACTTCTGCACAAAGGATATCCAAAATTACAATTAATAAGCCAAAAATAATTAGTATGTTAATTTAACAAGATTACTAGATACAAAGTCACCATTTAAAAAATCAATTGCATTTCTCTTTATAAGCAACAAATGAGTAGGAAAAAAGTTTAATCATTCCTTACAATAGGAATGAATCTAATGAAAGAAAATGAAGATTTCTGTACTCAAAAGTATAAACTATTCCTGAGAGAAACTCAAGAAGGCCTTAAAAGGGGATAATATTCTAGGGTCATGAACTGAAAGGTTCCCTAATTGTGACAATATTGATTCTTTTGAAGTTGAACTATGGATTCAATGCAGTGCCAATCAATATCCTGACAAGAATTTTTCTGGAAAAGGACAAGTTGATTCTAAAGTTCATTTGGAAATGCAAAGGGCTGATGGTCAAGGAAATCTTGAGGAACAATCACAGGCTGAAGGACTCACATTCAGACACAGACTCTCACCTGTGGTAACTCAGGGAATGCGGGGGGCGGCAGGTGGTGAGACAGAACAGACCCACGAGCACACTGCTCACCTGACATGACAAAGCTGCACCCAGGGGAAGGTGCCTTCTCAACAAGCGACAGTGGCTCAGTCAGACGTTCACATCACACACAAAACTAAACTATATGTGGACCATAGCACCTGAATGTGAAAGATAAAACAAGTCTTTAGAAGAAAAGATAGAATATCTTTGTGACCTTAGGTTTGGCAAAGACTTCCTAAACAGGACAAAAAAGCACCATATAAAAGGGGGAAAAAATAGATGAATTAGACTACATTAGGTTAAGACTTCTTATTTCTCTAAAGCCACAATTAAAAGTGTTAAAAGGTAGTGCAAAGAGTGGAGATGTCTGTAAAACATGTATTTGACAAAAGGTGTGTATCTAAAACAAAAAGAAGCAAGAAAGCGTTAACAACCAAATATAAAAATGAGCCTAAGATTTGGGTAGTTCATAGAAGATACTCAGGTGCCAAAACATGCATGAAAAGCCCCTCAGCCATCAGGGAGTGAAAATGAGCACCAGGACCTGACAGCAGCCCCCCTACGCCAAGGAAGACTAAAAGGAAGTGGACAGTCAGGTGCTGAGAGGATGTGGAGCAACTGAAACTCCTCCCACAGGGCGGGGGGAGTGCAGATGTTGGGACACTTGGGAAAACTGGTTGGCAGCACGTCCTGACGCTGACCTGTGACTCCTCAGCCCACAGCAGCACACGTCCCCCAGCAGACCCACCAAGAACATGCATGACAGCACACACAGTAGCCTGCCGTAGACACAACCCAGATGTCCACCTACTGCAGAGCGTGTGTTCTCAGGATGGAGTACCATCCATCGGTGAGGGTGAACGAACCACGCTGCACAGAGTACACGGGAGAGTCTCATGGATGACGCCGAGCCTTCACAGAACCCGCCCACGCCCAGCAGTCGGCAGGGCACTGGCCTCGGCCGGCGGGACTCAGGGTCTCGGGACCGGAAGTGCCTCTAGGCTGAGAGCTCTGTGAAAACGCATTAAGCCAAGTGTGCAAGATCGTGTTACATAAAAACAAGATGGAACCAAAAGATGGCAAACACAAACAATATGCACTGCTCGATGCCATTTGTACAAAGTCAACATAGACAAAACTAAACCCCGCTGTTCAGAACTGTACACAGATGTGAACTCTCAGAACCACCGGGCAGGGAGCGTCCCCTTGGGTGCGGCAAGGGCAGTGATCTGGAAGGGCGCCTGGGGGGAGGCAGGGCTCTGTCTACCCAGCATCTGAGTAAGTGTGTCAAGATTGCTCCCTCGTGTGCACCCAGAGGTGTGTTTGCACCACAACACACAGTGCCTCACAGCTAAGCCGGAGTCCGGCTGCTCTCTGCTGACACTTGCCGTAGGTGAGGGTGCAGACGGCCTTCCCAGCAGTGTCCAGGGCGGTCAGGCACGGGGCTTTGGGCTGCGTGGTGCCCCACTGCTGCAAGGCGGCCAGCAGCGAGGGCGGCCAGTCAGTGCCCATGGCCGGGGGCTCCCCCTTCAGCACCACCATCTGGCTGCCCTCGGGCTTGGGCTGGCTTGGATCTGGCTGCTGCACTGCAAGAAAAACAGAGATGTAAAATCAGCACCTCACAGAACCAGGCACACATTCGTCTGCTAAGCACTCACATTTCATAGTTTTCTTCTCTGAAAAACACCAATAATAAAAGGCTACCATCAGGAAATTTGGATCGCCTTATCATTAGTGTCATCACAGCCCCATGGCTAAGGACGGAAAGGGACCCAGCCACGGGCCAGGACGAGTCCTGGTGACCCTGACCCCACACGACCCCGAGTGCAGCAGGGACGAACGGGCCTGGGTCTCGGCCGACCCTGACGACACCTGGGAAGCAGGCACTCACCCCACGTACAAAGGGAAAGTGGGTGCAACACTTCAGTTTGGGCACCCAAACCATGTCAGAAGAAAAAAGAAAGTAAAACCTACTACATTTCCAGTGGATATGCAACCCAAATTTGCCTAAATGTAAGAAAGACAGTCCTAAAAAGCATTCACAGCATGGAACTTTGAATCTGAAAGGTGTGATGTGATTACAGAAACCTGCACTGACACCATGTCTAATCGTCGAGCTCAAGGGAGACACTGGAGCTGGCCCGAGGGGCAGAGCCGTGCGCCCCCGAGGCTCACGCCGCACACCGGTGTCCGGTGTGGCGCTTTACTTCTCTTCCTCTTCTACACATTTATACTCCTTTCTGTTTCTTGGTCATTTGCTTTTTAAAAGTAAGTCTATATTCTTTTTTTCTAAATATGTATATAATTCATAAGTGACAGGCTAGAATTCTGAAAAGGAGCCCAAGCTTTGCTAAAAATATAATACTTTAAAACAAAGGGAATATAAGTATTCCGGATTTAGAGTTTAAATAAAAATTTAAATAGTGTCAGTAAAATCAAATCTTCAAAGTATTCCTACAAAGCATCATGCACAGCCCAGAGGCAGGGACACACCTCTTAGCTGCGCAGGAGCAGTGAGCCTTCTACCTGTCAGACAAAGCCAGTGGCCACATGTGATGCTGTTCCTCCATCACACACAGTGACCAGAGTCTGGAAACGCACTCGGCTGTGTTATAAAGTCACAGTGATAACCCAGGTTCAAGGTGCGTTTGTCTGTGTCTCCACCGTAATGGCCACCCCATTCACACAACTGGGGGCCAAGGGCCAGGGCCAGAATGCTCACCTTCCAACAACTCCTCAAAGTCATCCACGAAGAACTCCTTCAGCGGAGGGCGCTTCGGCCTCTTCAGTGTGTTCAGAAGCTGCTGGATCTTGGAGGACACCCTGCTGTTCACAGGGACACCTGTCACAGAAGGAGGAGGGCTGAGGCCAGGGGCGGACACCAGGCCCAGAGGCCACCTATGTGAACACGTCGGAACCTGTGAATCCAACCCAGCACCAGCCCGTCAAATAGCCAGGCTGGAATTTATTCGTTCGTTTATTTCAGTTCAGTATTTACTGAAGCCTTCCAGGAACTGGAACTTGTCCTAACTGAGCTGTTTTCAAAGTGATCCAGGGGCCCCTGGGGGTGCTTGAGACCCTTTCAGGGGCTTCATGCGGTCAAACTACCCCTATGTCACATTAGCTGGTATCTGCTCTTTCCCTCCCCTCTCTGCACGCGCACAGGAGAGGGTTCCCAGCCACACAGCCATGCAGGCCCAGCAACAATAGGGAACAGGCCTGTGCGTTTGACTGCGTCTTGTGTGTCAGATATTTGGGTTGTACTGAGTTTATTACTGTTATTTTAAAATGAGATAATAGTTTTTTAAATTTTCAGTCTTAATTTTGAACAATAAATATCCAGAGAAACTCATGTAAACTAAAAGTTCTCTGGTGTCCTCGGTAATCATTAACAGCACCCCGTCCTCCAGAAACGGGCCCAGAACTGAGCCCTGCACTCACTGGCCTCCCTTCTTAGCCCCCTTTAATCTGGAATATTTCTTTGATCTTTGTAACACTGGAATTTTGAAAGTTAGTTCTTTGTTTTCACTGAGTACAACACACTTCCTTCTGCATTTATTCAGGTTCCTCATGATTCCACGCAGGTGCCATGTTCCTGGCTGAAACAGCCCCGGAAGAGCACGTTCCGGTGCGGGGGACGCCCGCCTGCCCCCACGCCCGGCCAGAGTGATGTCCAGCTCCCCACGATCGTCACCCTCTTTTCTTGCGCACCCAGGCTCTTGCTGTGGGAAGGCGTCCACACATGAAGACCAGCGTGGGAGGCCTGGGTGTGGACTCATGATTTCACAGATGCATCTGCTGTGCCCATCTGTGTGCACATGTGTTCGTACGTGTAGGTGTGTGTGCACATGTGGGAACACACGCGTGTGTCTATTCGCAGCGCACTGCTTAAGCCGGGAGCCGGAGGAGCAGTGGCACTGCAGTGGAGTGAGCACGCTCGGCACCAGGCCTCAGGCTTCAGTTCCTTCCTTGCTCCTTGAGAAATAGCTAATCCAGGGCCAGGGCTCCAGAGCAGAAAGTGACTCTGACGCACGTTATGACAGAATATAAGACAGTGAGTAAAAATGGTGTCACAGCTCAGCTGTGCCCGACCCCACCAGCTGAATGTGGACAATTTGTGCATCAAAATAGTTAAGAAACATAATGATTTATAACATCTGAGAAAACAGAGGTCCATGAGTCCTTCCTGAAGACAGGTATTTATAAAGAAGGGAGGGAGGGAGGGAGGCAGGAAGGAAGAAGACAGAGTGCGGAGAGTTACCCGTCAGTGTCAGTGGAGCACCGAAGTGGGGACGTACTTCAGCACGATCGCAGTAAACGCTGCATCTGGCAGAACGACCCAGCGGCTGTGAAGTGTGCGAGAGAGTTAGATGAGGATGAGGTCATGCATGTGTGTGGTCCTCACACTGCCTACTGGGTTCACAAGAAAAGAGGGTGACGATCGTGGGGAGCTGGACATCACTCTGGCCAGGCGTGGGGGCAGGCGGGCGTCCCCCGCACCGGAACGTGCTCTTCCGGGGCTGTTTCAGCCAGGAACGTGGCACCTGAGTGGAATCATGAAAACCTGTATTTATCTCAAACACAGACACAAATCCTTAACAAGACTTTAGCAAATCAAATCCACAACACATAAAAAGGGTAACGCGCCACAACTACGTGGGGTTGGTCTTGAGAATACAGCTTTGGCTTAATCTTCAAAAACCAATCAATGAAATTTACTATGTTAACAAACTACAAAAGAAAACCATATGATGAGCTTAACAGGTTAAAAAAATCACTTAACAAAAATCATGATAAAAATTTTCAGGATATTAGGGAAAAAAGGAACATTCTCAACCTGATGAAGAGCATCTATGAAAAACCCACAGCTAACGTCACAATTAAAAATTGCAGAAATGGATACTTCCCCCTCAAATTGGAAAGAAGACAAGTTATGTCCACTCTCAACATTTCTAATTGATGTTACTGGAAGTCTAGACACTGTAATAAAGCCAGAAAAGTAATAAAATTTAAATACCATTTACAATAGCATCAAAAATATATTTTGAGATAATTTTAATAAAATATGTGCAGTATCTGTACATTGAAAGCTACAAAATAGTGCTGGAAAAGATTTTTAAAAGAGCTCAGTAAATGGAGAGATATATATCCCATATATCAATTAAAATACACAATACTGTTAAGGCGCCAATTCTCTCCATATCGATCTAGAGAGTCAATGAAATACCACTCAAAACCCAGCAGGAGTTTTGGTAGAAATTAACAAAGTGATTTTAAAATATATATTAAAATGCAAACGAGCTGGAATAGCTAAGGCAATTTTTTACATGAAGAGTTGAAAAAAACTACACAATTTTAAGATTTATTACAAAACCACATATAAAAACCCACATATAAAAAGATGATGACAGTGTGGTACTGATGTAAGGTCGGACAGATGAAGTGGAGGATCAGGACACAGAGCCCAGACACAGACCCCTCTCACCATGGCCCAACGATCCTCATCAACGAGGCCAAAGAGACTCAGTGGGGATAGAACAACCGTTATGTTAAATGATCCTGGAACAACTGAACATCCACGCAGAAAAGTGAACTCAGCTTCCTATCTTACACTGATAGTAAACTTAACTCAAAATGGGTCAGATACCTAAACCTACAACTATGAAATTCTAGGAGAAAATACAGGAGCAAACCTTTATGACCTTGGGTTAGGAAAATATATCTTGGATATGACACAAACACAGACACCATAAAAGAAAAAACTGGTAAACTGGACTTTGTCAAGATTAAAGCTTCTGCTCTCTGAAAGGCACCAGTAAGAGAACGAGAACCAAGCACAGACGGGGAAGAACACAGCCCAGAAACCTGACAGGAGCATGTAAGGAACTCCCAATTCTTAACAAGACCACAAACACTCGTTGTTAAAAAATAAGCAGAAGATCTGAACAGACTCTTCTAAAAAGATACACGGATGGCAAATAAGCACATGAAAAGACCGTCATCGGTCATCAGGGAGACGCAAGTTAAAACTGTAACGAGGTGCCTCTGCACACCTGTGAGGGGGGCTACAATTTAAAACCAGCGCCATTGGCTGCTGGCAGGGATATGGAGGGACTGGGAATGGGAGACAGTGCAGCCACTTTGGGACTCATTTTGGCAATTTCTTAAAAAGCTAAAACATAAACCTACTGTGTTCCAGCTGTTCTGCTCCTAGGTGCTGACCAAAAAGAGATGAGAGTATACATCCACACGGGGATCTGTGAAAGAACAGCCACAGCAGCTTCACTCCCAACAGCTAAAAACTGGAAACCACCAAACATCCATCGGCAGGAAAAAGATAAACGATGGCACATTCATAGCATGAAATACTAGTCGTCAATAAAAGGGACGAACCGCTGATGCATGAAGGGCATGGATGAATCTGTGGGAGAAGCCAGCCAATGGAGAGTGAATGCTGTATGATTCTATTTATATAAAATCCTAGGAAATGTAAACTCATCTAATAGTGCCCAGAGTAAATCAGTGTTGCCTGAGGGGAGCCACAAAGAGCGGCCAGGACCGCAACGAAGGGCATAAGGAAGCTGTGAGGGACTAGGTGTGCTGGCTCGGGTGGCGGTTTCACGGTGCACACGAGTCTTAACACTTACAAAACTGTACACTTTAAGTCTGTGCAGAAGGTTACATGTCAGTTATGCCTCAACTAAGCTCTTACTGTTTTTAAAATATAAAGAGTAACAAAGGAAATTTAAAAATCTATCTAACCAATGTAAAGCCTGCTTCACATTGACTCAGCTTCTCCTTTTGCATCTGGACAAGGAGCTGAAAGACCTCAACAAAATCTGACCGACTGCTTGGGAGCATCAAAACACGTTTAGGTCTTAGACTGGAGATCCTCTGAATTTTCCTGCCACTCAAATCTGGTACATTGGAAAGAAAACTCTATGTGATCTTGTTAAAAGGCACTGGAAGCTGTCTCGAAAGGAAACGGTACAAATGAAGAAATGAGAATCACACTGAATTCTCGGGGCTGCACACGGGAAAACACGACCTGCAGGAGGGAGGGTGGGGGCTGCTGTTGCCGGCGGGGCCACGCTCACACTAATCCCACACTGTCCACAGAAAGAAACGTCCCCTGCTTCTCGTTCTCCTCCAATACCACAGATCCAAACACCTGGCACATGCAATTCAAATGTGAAGGCTTTCTCCCCCTACTTTCCTCGCTCCTCATCTGACCAACTCCAAGGCTATTCCTGATTATTTCTCCATGTGATACACACGTGGGCAATTTAAATGCACTAGGATTGTAACTGATGACCGGCTCAGGCTCGCTAAGGAGAAGACACCAAGGTGAGGTGCAATACCTGTGTTCTGCTATCTGAAAAGGAGGAAGAGAGGTATGCTTACCTCCCGCCGTCTCCAGGACGCTCCCACCGCACCCTCGAGGGACTCCTCTCACAGAAGCCAGCTGTGGGCGCTCTCTGTGAGCATGCTGGTGCTGCACGAGGCCCGTGGTGACATCAGGAGGGGCAGAGTGCAAATCTGCTTTTGAAAAACAAACCCAAGATAAAAGAACATTAATACCAAGCTGCTGTTTAAACCCCACTGACTAAAGCTTCACTAGTTGAGCTCTAAGCAAGGAATGTAGCATTCCGATCGGCTTTGTTCTTCTGGCTGACCAGGCCATGCCAGGATCCTGTGAACTCTGAACTCCCCGGCATGGCACGTCCAGCTCTGCATGCATATGGCATCCGGTGCTCAGAGGGAACTAGACCAGAACCACAATGACAGCACAGGGACAGGCGTGAGTAACTTGCCTTCCTAACGGTCTAATGACATTTTACTAGAAATCTCCCTCAAAGAAGCAGAAACACATTTTGAAATCAATTTTTATTGGACTATTTTTTGTTATATTATGAAAATAGCTAGGCTTCTATAACTTACTCCTATTCCCCCAAAAAGTAAGTTGGATATCACAAAGACACAAAACCTCTGCAGTCATCAAAGAATAAACCTAAAACATAAAAACTACCCTCCTGGCAGTTTAATACATCTCACTGTTAAGAGGCTGCAATCAGGTCTTTAAGGCAGAACGTACCAATGTCCCATTTAAAAACAAACTATGTTAGATACAGAAAATGTTTAAGGTCACTCCTTCCGCTGTCTGCACATTCTGTGTTTCGTTTTCACGATGAGGCACGTGTATCTTTTCGGGTACCGGCTGGCTGCAAGCTGCTACAGACCACTGCTACCACTGAGTCTGGAGAGTATCAGGTCTGGACCACGGCAACACTCGTCCACTCGTGAGAATCGACACTGATCTGTAATCTGTTTAATTTTTAAATGAATGCTCCTGCCATCACAGATGCAGACACTTTAAAATTCCAATCATTTATCTATCATTTCATGACCTAGGCAGAATGCAAACTAAGAATTTTTTAAATATGTAGAGAGATGAAATTACATGGGAGCAAAACGCAAACTCACCATTAACAACGGCAGAAAACACCATTTGGAAACATCTAACTTTAATGACAAGAGATTTTACAACCCCGGAAAAAGCTTGATATCGATGAATTAGCATTTTAAAGTATACCTGTCAGTGTTCTGAGTTTAAAATCTCCTCACCCTTCCCAATCTAGCAAAAAGAAAGCATGATTTTTACATTATTTATGAAAAAAGGAATAAACGGTAATCTTAACTACAAAGTAGTTTTTAAAATATCTGCATAAAAATAAACAAACTGCACTCAAAATAAAAATGAACTACTGTACTTACATTACAAGTACTGCTTTTAGATACAGGTATTTAATTTGCATCCCAAAGTTTTATGTATTTGATTTTCTTTAACTCAAAATTGAAAATGACATTTATTTTTAAATTACCTTTACCTAACATTTTCTACCTCAAATTTTTTACCTATTATAGTCTTCTTTCTATATTTCTTTAGCCCAAACTGAAGAATTCTCTAGTGTTAGAAACTAAAACAAGGGCGGTTTTTATGAAAAGGAGAGGAAATGGAGTATCTCCAGTTAAACACTTGGCCTATGAAGCTTGCAGACAGCAGTAGGGTGTTAGGCGGAGCCCAAGTTAAGATTTGTAGAACTAACTGGAACTCATCACGCATGTACGTGAGACCAGGCGAGTGGGACAGGAGGAGAGGTGTTCCCAGCCACACCTGCAGACGTCAGGAGTCCTCTACCCCCAGAGGTGATAAACCTGCCTGTGAGTCCTTACAGCCAGGATCTTTCAGAGAATGAAGACACCAACTCAAATACAAGTACAGTCAAAAGACCCCACGGCCACAGGGAAGTCAGGGCTCTATGGTCAAACATTCTGAACTGCGGTCAGTTTTCCATGTTAAAAATGCTTTTATTTCTATCCCACCAGGAAGCAGTGTTTATGACAGCTCAGCACCGGCTGAGACAGTCAAGCCACGAGCACCTGCTCTACTGCAGGAGGCTGACCTATGCTAAGAGAACATTCAAACACCAGCGTTTCCCACACTGGAGCCACTGCCTACTGCCAGTAAGCTATCACCATGACTCACAGGAAAAGCAGATCGCCTAGGCTGCTGTCAAGCTCTGCACCGTAGACGCCACTGAGGACAGGTGGGTAACCACCAGCCATTTGTAGGACCCCCAAGAAAGTTAACAAAACAATCCAGGCGCTGTTTCTCAAGGGGCCTTTTCTCATAAAGCACGCTGCCCAGGACACCTGACAGCCCGACCCCGGCAGTCTTGGCAGCTCATGGAAGCAGGTCGAGGCATCGTGAGTTCTCCTCTAAGACTCACATCACAGAGAAGACACAAGCCCAAGAGAAATATACAGACATGGTGTGCTGACTCAACCAAAGAAAAAATGAAAAGTGTCAGTGAGGACGCTGAGGCTGAAGACATCAGGCATTCAGAACACCCTGTCCAGCTAATGACCAAGCTTTACGTGAAAGTAGCTCAGCACCTGAGACCAGCGCCTGCTGGGGGTGTCTAACCCTCCAGGACCTGGGAACGCTGCCCAGTGGTCACAGGTGCACTGCTGATGTGCCATTTCAGTTTCAGCAGAACAGCAACCAACAGCAAAGAAAATGAACAGGACTCAGAACTGAGTCAGCCTGGCTCCACCTTGCGCCAGCTGAGTGGTCTCAGGGCTGCTGCGCCACGTCAGGTTTCTTCCCTCCACTCTAGAAAAAATGGTGTCAAGACACGCTCCAGCAGCACCGATGCACCGTCGAGGAGGGCTCCTTTCTAAGGCATGAGTGCAAGAACACGTGTGGGTCTTGTGTGCCAGCTACGTTATTATTTAAACGTTATTGTTTAAAAAACATGATTTCAAATGATGGAATGTTTGCAATGTTTTCCTAAGGTTAATGTAATTCAAAGGATGGGGTGATTTGGAAAAGATCTGTGCAACTCTATGACTAACTCTGACACTTCTCCCCAGGCTAGGGGGTGTCTAACTTGGTGTGCGGAAGACTACAGCCCCATCCCTGCCTCGCACACCCAGCGCAGGACACGTGGAAGAATGAGGGTGGGGCAGCATGCAGGCAGCAGGTCCCCCATCGTCAGGGACTGTCCACCAGAGCAGGAGACCAGGCACTCATCAGGGCCCCCAGAGAGGCCCCCATACCACTGGGTCTGGGCCTGCCAAGCCACAGAAGCATCAAGAACCACTTCTGTTACCCAAAGGACATTTTCTGGATGAAAAGAAGGTAGGTCTGGGTGGCGCAGGGGCGCCCTGCCTGGGGCCTCCGCGGCTGTTACTGACCTATGCGGGCGTGGGCCACGGGGCCTGCGGGTGTGGCAGCGGGCTTCCCTCCCGGGTGAGATGAGGTGGAGGATGCAGAGGATGAGGTGGATGAGCCCTGAATGACCTGGTCGAGCCAGGGCTCGATGCTGGGGCAGCTCTGGAGTGGAGTGGAGGCCAGTTGCCCGGGTTGCCGCAAAGAGCCCTCGTCTTCTGAGGTGGATGATGTGTCTGTGGTTGAAACAACGAGGACAGGTGTGGTGTGGGTGCAACCTCGGGGCAGCGGGGCTCCCACATGGCTCTGGACCCATGCTCTGTGCAACGCTGGCTGCGCCCAGACATCTAGAAGGGCCTGCATCTGACCGACGGTGGGATCCAAGGGCTGCTCGGGAAGCAGCGCAGGGGACTGGATCTCGGGTCACTACGCCCGGGAGTGCAGATGGCCCCACCCTGCCCCATGGGGCCCGGATGGCAGAGGGGCCCAGTGCTCTGTGCATGCCCTGCACGCCTTCACACATGCCCGAGGTAGCACTGTGGCCGTCACCTGTGCCCTCTCAGGGGACGTGAACGAGCTCCAGCAATAAAATTAAGATGAACTCAGGTTCTGTCGAGCCAGCACAACTTGGTTTTATAGTGGGTTTCACAATTATTAGAAAGTTCTTTAAAAACTAGGTAGTGTCTGTAATTATATTTAGTAGAAACAATAATTTGACAGCCATTTCTAAGATATTTTCAACAGTATAAACTTTTTTTTTAAGCAAGGAAACGTCACCAAACACTGCGCTATCTCGGGAGCCTGGTGCGCCCAACCATCACGTCATCACCCAAACACACACGTCACCAGCATCACGTCTGAAACAGCGGGATGGGGGCACATGGACACTAGCCTCACATCTGCCATGCCTGGACAGGGTTTCCTAGGAAACTTAAAGCGCGCTACCCTGAAGAGAAACCCCACATAAAAGTTCCCATTTCTAATGGTGATGACAACGAAACAACAGTAACAAAATAAATCAAAACCCACCAGTAGCCTCACACTCTCCCATTTAAGGCCTGCTAACAACACAGAAAATAACAGCTAGTAAGATGAGAACAGCTTTAAGATCCTCCAGGAACTCTCACCCCACCAAGCACTCCCTCTGGGATCTTCTCTTTACCACAAGACACAAACTGCATCTCAGCAAAAAGCTAAAATCCGCAGGCATCCTGCTGGAGGCGAGTATCTGCCCCAGAGGAGCCTGCCGTGTGGCCAGTGAGCACTGGCTGGGGCAAGGGGCACACACAGACGTTGCCCACGTCCAGCTTCTCCCATTCTCCCCTCTACCGTCAGGAGACAGCTCTGCCTCAGGGACCCTCGCCAGGCCATGGCCCGGCCTCCGTACCTGGAGGGGTGCAGGCACCCGCGGGCACATGAGCAAGGACGGAGCGCCTCTTCGACGGCATCGGCATCTTCCTCTCCTTGTATCTGGCCAAAGCTGCTTGCACGGCCTCGGTATGAACATCTGCACAGAAATGACAGCAGCAGAAACACATGTCACTGGGTTCCACTAGTGGGTAGCAAAACCAAGGTCCGTGTTTCCTCCACTGAGTAGAGAAGCGGGGCCTACAGTGGGCCTCACATGCTGGCCTGGTACTAGATTTCCATAAATACTCCTTTGTTTGTAGACTTCACTTGGCAAATATTTTCATAGATTTAAATCAAAAAGAAGAAATCTCCACACTGAAAACACAATGAAGCAGATGACCCTAATGTGTCCTGGCTGTGACACACCCACTGCGAGTGGTGAGAAAGCACTGGAGTCAGACTGTTCAGCTCGCTGCTCCAGATGCAGCCCAGGGACAGGCAGAGTCAAGTGCAGGGTGCCAGCTCTTCCTGCGGCCAGACGGCCGGTGGGCACGGGGACCCCACACACACAGCGTTTCTAAGTGGAGCAGGGCCTGATTGTCTATTCCATCGACCCTCCCTGGAAACAGAACTCGTGAGGGAGAGAGGAGACCAAGGAAGCGAGGGTAAACGTTGCAGTCCTGAACTGAATGGAAACCGTCAGCATGAACGCTCATGGCATTTTATCTTTAACTAGTATGACTTACCTCCGTCCGCTAAAAATGTCCAGAAACAAGGACCAGCCCAAAAGCAAAGAGCATCCCCAGCACCTGGGCTACGGTCTTCAAACACCAGCCTCACTACAAGGACCCCGAGGAAGGCAAGTTCCAGGGTTGGGGGGCAGGAGCATCTCATCCCAACATCCTAAAAGCACACGGCCCAACAACACAAGTTGGAGGGCGTGTGGAGCTGCTCCCAGCGGCTAAGGATGGGCATTTGAGTGTCACCAAAGGTAAACACTGGCCAGAACTGAGCACCAACTACGTGCTGAAAACAAGGTGAAAGAAAAGGCAGGAAGGAAGGGAGGAGGCAAAATTAATTGGCTGCCATCGGAGGAGGCTGGTGACCCAATCCACTGCTCTGTAAACGGAAATGGAAATAAATGGAAAGAGTTGAAGACTGATCTGGGCTCTCCTGTACCTCCGGCAAGCGAGCAGGACTTCGTCCTCACAGAAGCAGTCAAGCCTCTGCAGGGAGTCACCACTCTGCCACCCCAATGAACTAGTGGTCTGCCAGCATCCCAGGAAGACAGAGAATCAGGCCCATTGTGTGTCATGGTGCAACCTGGAGAAGTCTTAGGAACAATGTGGACCCCAATCGACCTGTCGGAGCCTAGGGAGCTGAGGGCAACCCTCTCAGAGGAGCCGCCAGACCACAGCCCAGGCCCCGGGACCGAGCTATCAAAAGGCTGGAAGCACATATCAACCACCGTGATGTGTATATCTTACTTGGTTTTGAGCCCAAATAAACTGTTTTTAAAAGCCACATGAACATTTGGGCATTTGATACTAAGGAATTATTGTTAATTGTTCTGTAACAATGGTATGCACCTTTCAGAGATACATGTCTTCTTTTCAGATACAGAGACCAAGAATATTGTTAAATCTAAGCGAAATAACATGATCTCTGAGATTTCCTTCAAAACCACACAAGAGGGGAGGAAGCAGTGGTCAACAATGAATCCAAGACTGAGCACGGCTGGGAACTGCGGGGGCTGGACAATAAGTCCAGGAGGTTATTACACAAGTAAGTCTGCTTCTGAACATGTTTACATTTTTCTCCAACAAAATGTCTTTAAAACATTTAGAAACATTACAGTAACATGGCTCATAGGGTGCAAATCGGGAAAGATGAAAAATTCACACCTAGACATTAAAATAAAATTTACAAACAGCAAAGACAATGAGACAGTTCTAGAAGAAAGCTTCCAGAGAGAAAGAGTAAATCATCTTGAAGGATCAAGAAACAGACTGATTTTACTCAAAAGCAACCACTGGGCACAGGAAGGCATCACAGCTGAAGAAAAAAGTGTCAAACCTAGAATTTTATAACCAGTGAAACTATCCTTTAAACCTGGGTGTCTAATAGAAATATTCCCAGATGATGTTTTGTATTTCTGTGGTATTGGTTGTAATTCCTCCACTTTCCTTTCTTGTTTTGTTTATTTGTGTTCTCTCTTTTCTCTTCTTGGTGAGCCTGGCCAGCAGTCTGTCAATTTTGTTTTCTCTTTCAAAAAAACCAGCTCGTGGTTTGATTTTTTCTAATTTTTTTAAATATCTGTTTTATTTGTTTCTTCCCTGATCCTTATTATTTCCTTCCTTCTGCTGACTTTTGGTTTTGTTTGCTCTTCTTTTTCTAATTCTTTTTGCTGGTAGATTAGATTATTTATTTGAAATTATTGTTCTTTTTGAGGAAAGCCTGTATTGATTGCTATGAACTTCCCTCTTAGGACTGCTTTTGCTGCATCCCATAGATTCTGTGTGGTTGTGTTTGCATTGTCTTTTGTCTCAAAGTATTTTTAATTTATTCTTTGATTTCATCATTGACCCATTGGTTTTTTAGTAGCATGTTGTTTAATCTCCATGCTGTTGTTTTTTTCTCCTTTGTTCTTCTGTGGTTGATTTCTAGTTTCATGGCATTGTGGTCAGAAAAGATGCTTGAAATAATTACTATCTTCTTAAAATTGTTGAGGCTTCTTTTGTGCCTGAGTACACAATCTACCCTAGAAAATGTTCAAAATGACAGCCTACATAATGGGAGAAAATATTTGCAAAAGATGAAACTGACAGGGGATTGATCTCAAGAATATATAAACAGCTCATACAACTTGATAAGAAAAAACCAAACAACCCAATCCAAAAATGGGCAGAAGACCTAAATAAGCAATTCTCCAATGAAGACACAGGAATGGCCAACAGGCACATGAAAAAATGCTCAATACAGCTAATCATCAGAGAAATACAAATCAAAACTACCATGAGGTATCACCCTACACCACTCAGAATGGCCATCATTCAGAAGTCCACAAACGATAAATGCTGGAGAAGATGCGAAGAAACAGGAACCCTCCTACATTGTTGGCGGGAATGCAGTTTGATGCAGCCATGGTGGAAAACAGTATGGAGATTCCTCAAAAGACT